CCCCCCCCCCCAGCAACTTTACAGAGTTGGTGTAGGGATTATCTAATGTTTGAAGTATTTTAAACATCTTAGAACGTTGTATAAAAAAAACAGGAACATCTACCACCCAGAAAAACCGTTCCAGAATAGTCTAAAATCTATGTAAAATAAGTCTCAATTTCATATCTCCCAAATACAAATTTTGCATTACAATACTGTACTATGTATAAAAAGAGCAGCCTGAAAGAACTTTGCCACAGAGACGGTTATAGTTTCATCATCGCTGTTTAGTAGATATAGCAGTTTGTGTGAGTCGGGAAGCTCTATGACACCACCAAGTAGTGACGATAAAATGCAGGGCCGAATGGCTCAAGTGGTTAAGACGCTGAACTGCAGGCTGTGGAAGGTCAGTAGTTCAGCAGTTCGAGACCCAGGTTGCCGCATGACGGAGTGAGCTCCCATCTCTAGTTCCAGCTCCTGCCAACCTAGCAGTTCGAAAGCAAGAAATTGCAAGTAGATAAATAGGTACCACTTTGGTGGGAAGGTAACAGCGTTCCGTGCGCCTCGGTGTTTAGTCATGCCGACCACATGACCACGGAAACATCTTCGGACAGCGCTGGCTCTTCGGCTTTGAAACGGAGATGAGCACCGCAACCCTAGAGTCGGACTCGACTGGCTTTCAAGCAAGGGAACCTTTACCTTTACCGACATTCCAATAACACATGAGACACGGTTTCAACTGACCTGCTTGCACAGGGGCGTAGTCTATTAACAAAAAGGGATCCTATTAAACCTCCCAGTTAAGATTGCTGAAGGGAGAGCACTGAACCTGGCAAGTGAAAAGGTTCTGTGTAAGGCTGGGGTCTGAAGCTGGTGAAGAGAGCTAGCAGGATGACCTACAATGAGCAATATATCCCATGTCTTATGTTTTATCTATCTGTGTATTTTTTCTGTGCTAAGTGCCAATAAAGGTAACTGAACTGTTAACTGTGTAAATGCAAAGTATTACCTTTACCTGAACCAAAACTAGACATAAAGTGAGTCTTTATACACTAACTATATCTCCTCCCCACCAGGTCTGCTCAAGGAGGGTTTAAACCTTCCATGCCCCACGTTGTTATTAGGGGGGGAAAGTGGGTACTTATCTTCTTTCTTTTAAAAGCTATAGCAACACCGGGGGGGGGGGAGCTTTCATTTGCCCAATTGTGAAGGGTAGGGAGGGGGTTACACCCTCTCTCCCATCCACAGGTGGCTCCACCCTGTACGGCTACAACTGAGCATCGAAAGATCCATATCCCTCCTTCCAAAATGCAACTGGGAAGATCGAGGGACAGCGTTCCCAAGGTCGCATCTGTTCCTAGCCTGTTTCTGATCAATGGCATTTACTGGCAAATGAGCGTCCACGTTAATTGTGGTTACTTCTGCGAGGCTGTTATTGACTCTTCGCTCCGAGTCACGAAAGTTAGCCAGCTGGTGTTGCAAACGCCGTGCCACTTTTCCGGCACGAGGTTGGTGCCGTGGGAATTGTGCGTTCCTTGACTTTTATAAACGCAGCAATAATAGCAGGGTAAGTTATACATCGTGACTCCACTAAAATAAGGAAATCGGTGGGCACTGCATATTTAAAAATGCAACCCTGGTGGTGGGGGGGAGAATCCTGTTGTTTTTGGACCGCTGATGATTCCAAAGTGAGGGTCTTGACAGAAGGAATAATTATTACTGCAGTGAAATGACATCTCAACCTAACAAACAAATCTGGGTAAAAAAAATGACAGCTTTGGAAGAGAAGTGTGCAATTTACAGTCTGCTCATGCTCAGAGGTTAGTCACTGCTGCCGCCTTCCCAACTGGAGAAAGGCTGTGGCTAGCTTTCAGCCTTCCTGACTACATGTTCCAACCAATGTTCCCTCTAAGTTGTGGAGTCTTGTGAGCAGAAATTCTACTTTGTGAGCGACTCCCATTAAAGTTGAGAGTGAGCAATTTGGCTGCTGCATAAATCAGTTCGCTCTGGAGCCATCCCTTCCTGAGCGAAGACAAAAATGTGTGAGCCGGAGGCTAAAAAACTGTGAGCTAGCTCACACTAACTCAGCTTAGAGGGAGCACTGGTTCCAACTTCTAATATGTTATCATAGAATCATCACAGAGTTGGAAGGAGCCATACAGACCATCTAGTCCAACCCCCCTGCCCAAGGCCGGGCCAGCCTAAAGCATCCCTGACAAAAATTCGTCCAGCCTCTTCTTGAAAGCTGCCAGTGAAGGGGAGCTAACCACCTCCCTAGGCAGCCGATTCCACCTTTGAACCACTCTGACCGTGAAAACGTTTTTCCTAATATCCAGCTAATACCTTCCTGCATGTAACTTAAACATGCTTCGGGTCCTGTCCTCTGCCGCCAACTGGAACAGCTCCTTGCCCTCCTCCAAATGACAGACTTTCAAATATTTAAAGAGAGCAATCACGTCCCCCCCCAATCAATCTCCAGCCAGTTTGGTGTAGTGGTTAAGTGTGCGGCCTCTAATCTGGGAGAACCGGGTTTGATTCCCCACTCCTCCACTTGCACCTGCTGATGTGACCTTGGGTCAGTCACAAGCTCTGGCACAGCTGTCCTTGAAAAAGAGCAGTTTGTGTCAGAGTTCTCTCAGCCCCACCCACCTCATAGGGTGTGTCTGTTGTGGGGAGGGGAAGGGGAAGGAGTTTGTAAGCCGCTCTGAGACTCCAAGTGAAGGGCGGGGTATAAATCCAATCTCTGCTCTCTTCTTCTTCTCCAAACTAAACATCCCCAGGGCCCTTAGCCTTTCCTCGTAGGGCTCAGTCTCCAGACCCCTGATCATCCGCGTCGCTCTCTTCTGCACCCTCTCAATTTTGTCCACATCATGTCTGGGTTACCCCAACCTGACTCTGATACCGTCACCATCTAAGCAAGCAGGGCACAAAGTCAGACTGGGACCAAGGCAGGTTGTTATTTGAATTGTGAGGTGGTTGAATGAGGCTGAACTCCTCACTGAGAGCTAGTCACTTGGAACTGGCCCAGCCAATCAGGTTGCATAGTCTTTGTGGTGGGTGGCTCCGTGCCATTCTTCCACCATGTCTTCCAGACACTGAAAAGAGCGTTAGTTTCCAGCAATTCGACACGATAAGCGAGATCAGTATTTCAACACTAACCTTTCTACCAAGTGGACCAAGCCTGCCGCGTTCTCCTCCAGCCCCAGGTGGACCTCCTCCACCCTGTAGAGACAAGGCCTTAAGCTCAGCAATAGGGCAATCAAAATACAATTCAAAATACACACACACACATACATAATATATATATATAAGCAGAGATATGTAACAGCAGGAGAAGGCGGAGGGTTGCCAGAAACACTTTGTGCAGTAGTGGAAACGAGTTCGTTATTATTAGAGTCGTTCAAAATATTTTGAGTCGGATCGTTTTCTCGAAGAGCTATGCGTTACTGATCCACGACTGGCTCTGTCGATGTTTTCTTTAATGCTACAAGAAGGAGCCAAGTCTGGATGAGTGACACAAGGTGCAACAACGGGAAGTGCTTTGCGGCAGAACCGAATAAATGTTATCAAAAACCATCACGTTCTTCGGTAGCTTTGGTTTTTGGACTTTCCGTCCACGCTCGGAGGCTCGAGAATTGTGGAACAATGCCAGAATAAAGTGGAAGTGCCAACACATATTTTCACTCAAACATCCCACCCCGCCCCAAAGTGAGGGCCAAATTACATATTACTGATCTGTGATTGGCTCTATGGATGTTTTCTTTAATGTTACAAGAAGGAGCGGAGTCTGGATCAGAGCTCGAGGGGAGGGGGGGGGAGTTGAGGTTAACCCCTTTCTCCCCTGCAGCATTTATTCTATAGAAGTAGCCCCCAGAACTATATGTTGTCGAAGGCTTTCATGCCCAGAGTTCATTAGCTGTTGTAGATTTTCCGGGTTGTAGGATCTAACGTTTCGCCAGTAGCTGTGACTGGCATCCTCAGAGGTATAACACAGAAAGATGGAGTACTCTCTGAGTCAAGGTGAGAAGAAAATAGTAGGCAGGTAATTTATATCTACTCAGGAAGGTGGGGTAGGGCTGAGTCATTATCATGTAGGAGTTCCCCAGGCTGTGAACATGCTAATGGAGGAGCTTTCCTGAGGAGGTTCTTTTGTATACGGATTGTTTCCTGAGGAGGTTTCCTGTTCCCTGAGGAGGTTCTTTTGCATGTGGATTGGCTGTTGAAATTCTAATCTTATCTGTAGTGCTATTGTCAGATGTAGAGCCCCCGGAACTGCTTTTGGCTGAACTGGGGGAAAAGGCAGAGGCTCATACTGTTCCTCCTGAATGGTTTCTCCCTCCCCACAACACAGCAGATAGCAGTTCTGGGGGAGATTTCTACTGCTATATATACTGGATCTTCTGCCCATATAGGTTCTCTTAAATTTTTATATATTACTGAGATGACCCTATGCAGACATATGAACAAAGTTTTATAAAATGGCCCCAGATCTTCTTGTGCCTCTGTCAAGCTGTTTCCCGTTTACCGGACTTCTTAAAAAGACTGTTTCTGGGGATAATGATACCAAGGAGTTTGTTTGCTACCTATTTCCTTATTCCAGTTTTAGTGATTTCGCATATTCTATGTATATTATTTTTTACTGATTTGGAAGATCCATTAATACATCCCAGGGAAAGGCATCTTGGCGCAAAAAAAAAAAGAAAATAAAAAAGCCTGAACTAAAGATATGACCGGCACAAAACTTTTTTTGTCATTTGTCCCAGATCAACAACCTTGGCCCCTGCCACACGGCAGGGAAAACACGAGGTGAAGCGCGGCTAAAGAGAGCCGCATCAAAAAAGATACGCGCGGGCGGGATCCCACGGATCCCGTGCACCGCGCGCCGTTGCTCCCCGGCACGATCACATGCCGGGGAGGAAGAGTCGGAGGCAAGGGGGAGGCCGCCGAACTGCGCATGCTCAAGCATGTGCAGTTCGGCCGGAGGCCAGGATGTGCCGCCGCAAGGACGCGCGGCTGATCCCACAGCCGGTTTGAGCCGCTCTACTTCGCAAGAACCACCCAGGTAAGTGGTTCTTTTTAGTGCGGGTTTTCATGCGGAAGAGACAGATTGGGGACGGACAGGCAACAATTCCCAGATGTTGCCGTGGGATCGCGCCCGTTTGATCCGCCCCCGTTCTGTCTCGCTCCCGGACCAAAACCCCTCGTATGAACGGGGCCCTTGACTTGTAGAAACGGGTTGCTTGGCTTCTCTTTGGGGTGTTACCCCTTTTGCATCCAGGTAAATAACTCCTTGTAAAGGGCAGTGCTTTTATGTATTGTTTTGTCTATACCCACCATTCTGCTGTGAAGATTATCTTCCATATACATCAAAATATGGTTCTCGAATTCACAGATTTCTTGCCTTGTACCTCTGTCTACTTGGAAATCTTGAGTTTCGAGGTTACTAACTTTTACCGAGGTATATAGGTTTTTTTATAGAGGGTTTTAACCACCCAGAGGACTTCTAGTTCAAATTTCATATGCTTAAGCAAACTCAAGAGATACTTTCCTCTTCAGACAATCACGGGCATTTTCTGTATCCAGGGATACAACTGTTAGTGGTTTCCCCATGTTTAAGGTTTTCCCATCAGCAATGCCTCATTGTTGCACAAGGCCATTTTGATTGTCTTCTACTCAGTAAGCTATGATGGCGTTACGCCCAGAGCCTTATAATGAGGTAAAGATTTCAGCATCTTGATTAAGAAGTGAAATCTTTTCCAGGTTTTGGAACAACAACTATATGGGCTTCATTCCAGGTGTGTGTGTGTGGGGGGGGTATATTTCCTTTTTTAATATAGTGTTGAAAAGGTTGCTCATAGGTTGGGCAAACAGACGTTCTATAAAGCTCAGCA